CCCCAACCCCAGCTTGCTTTCCGCATCTCCCTCCTTTGTACGCTGGTCCTCTCTTAGCTTGCATTCCCTTCCTGTGAGGCTTTGCTCCAGCGCCAGGGGTTGGTGGGCTCTGGTATGAGGGATCTCCCATTCCATGAGCATTTGTACATGAAAAAAAGACCCCGAGGCCTTATAGGCTGCTCTCCTTCCTCAGGAGCCTGGGTCTGTCAGTCATGAGACCCCGGCCCAGATCTACGCTCACACGACACTGTCCACGCGAGCTCCCCTCCCTGGCCCTCTCTCAGATTCCCCGTATGAAGAAGGTGGGCCTCGGTGGCTGTGCCCCTTTGAGACCCTTTGCCTCTGAGCCCCACACTGAAGGCAGCCCCTGGGCTGAATGGCTCTGAGGGAGGGACCAGGAGCCGTGTTGCCCCAGGGGAAGGGAGCATGCCTGCCTCAGGTTTCTGTTCCAGGCCGTGCTGGCTTCTCTAGGTCTCTTGCAGCTCTAGCGTCCTCAGAAATACAGGAGAGCACAGTTTGCTTCCTCCTCTAGGAAAAGCCTCTGGGCAGGCCGGTTCCTGAAGAGGAGTGGCGAGGTAGGGGTAGGACAGGGCGCAAGCGAGGATGGTCGCTGAGTGTCCTGTGACTGGTCTGCTTTGCAGGTAGAGCACGCCCTAATGGAAGGAGCAAAGGCTGCAGGAGCCGTTATTTCAGCCGTAGTGGATACCATAAAGCCCAAGCCAGTAACTGCCTGAAGGTGCAGAAAACGCCAAGCACAGGAAGAGCTACTGACATCAGCAAAGAGAACGCTCCTCCTTTGCGCCCGTTGCCTTCCTCTCTCAGTGGGCCCCTGTTAGGAAATTGTGAGCTTCTGGAAGAATCTAGAATGTACCCAATTACCCCTCTAGAAATACATCCAATATGTGTGATGGTGGACCCATGGACTCTCAGGGTGGGAAGAACCTCATGTTTATTATGCAACTATTAGGCACCGGGTACTGTGCTAGGCATTTCATATACTGACTTTGTTTCACCCTCTTTGTGGGAAGGGACCTTACTTGCTTCTTAGGCTGAACCTAGTCTGTGATGCTTGAATACCATCGGATACATCCTAGCAGCCTCTGCTGAAATGTTCCCAGTAATGAAAAACTCTTTCCAGAAGTTCTTTTTTGTGAACTAAAATGTCTCCAGCTTTTCTGTATCACCCGAGTCCTGCCCGTGTAGATCCACAGTGAGGTTTAGCGGGGGAGGTCTTTAAAGAAAACTGTAACTCACTACTCAGGGCCCCTCTGTACTTTAGTCTAGGAACACCTTTCCCAAGAAATATTTTCTTTTTTAAACTATACATCAGCTTTATTCTTTTTTTTATTAAATTATTTTTTATTATTNATCCTTTGCTTCATCTAATCTATTGATTCCCTCTAATGTATTCTTCATTTCCATTATTGTATTCTTTATTTCAGACTGGGTTTTGTTCATTTGTTTGTTTTCTATCTCCACTTTTATGTTTCCTATCTCTTTGTTGAAGTTCTCCCTGAGATCACTGAGCATCCTTATAACCAGTGTTTTGAATTCTGCATCTGGTAGATTGCTTGTCTCCATTTTGTTTAGTTCTTTTTCTGGAGCTTTGTTCTGTTCTTTAATTAGGGAAATGATTCTTTGTCTCCCCATTTTGGCTGTCTTCCTGTGTTTGTTTCTCTGTAGGGCTGCTATGCCACCCAGTCTTAGTAGAGTGGCCTTATGTAGTAGGTGTCCTGTGGGACCCAGTGGTGCGGTCTCCCTGGTTACCGCAGAACATATAGGAGGGTGCATTCGTTACTTACCACAGAGCATATAAGGAGGGTGCATCTGTCACTTACACAGAAGGGTGCATTCAGAGCTGAGAGGCATTACATTGACAAGTGGCACAATTAACCTCACCAGCTTTAATAATGAGAGTGATGGGGCAGCGGGCTGGTGGGAGGGGGGCCTTTGTGTGAAGAGAGCTTTCTCCAGCCTGGGTTTCTGTAAAGTGATGAAAGCAGAGTCTTTGGGCTGAGCTGTAGCTGATCCCCAAACAGGGTCTCTGGAGTTCATTGGGCATGTGCATTTTCCCTATTTTGTTATATTTTTTCCATCTCAGGGCGAACCGAGACCCAGACCTGGAGACCTGATTGAGATTTTCCGCATTGGCTATGAGCACTGGGCCATCTACATGAAAGATGATTGTGTGGTCCATCTGGCTCCCCCAAGTAAGAGCAGAAACTCTACTGAAATATTAATATTTAAGTTAGCAAAGTAAAAAGAAGTACGGCTAGTTATTGTGCTTCTCAACTGCTGCCTTACTTTAGCAAGAAAACACCCCGAAGCATTGCTAGACCCTAATTCACTGTGTGACAGGGTTTGGTCTCTGTCTACCAGACACTGCTGCATGTCCAGCCCTCAGAGAGATGCACGTTACAATGCCCCCACTTTCCTGGCCACTGAGACCACAAACTGCAAGAACCTGAGCCTCCATTTGTGTTGACGGTGGTTCTGCATCCTTCCTCACATTCCCCAGGATTCCCCAGGAAGGATGTGGATACCTATGTGCTCAGATGGTCCTCAAATGCTGCTTCCACTTCCTCATCGCCTTTGGCACCTCCATCTCCAGTTTGTCTCCCAGCTCTGCCAATCTGTCCCAGGCTGCCCTACTCTCAGTGGGAACAGCTCTCCTTTCATTTCTCAAGGCAGCATTAACACAAGGCTAAGTTTAAATGGGTATTTAATTAAATATTAGTGGAGGTTTGAGGAGAAGGAGGTGATAATAGAAGATTGTAGCACAGAATGCCGGGGGAAACCCCTCAAAATTAGACATGCAGAACCATTGGTCACAGTGGTCAGTCAACTCGGGAGAAGGGACCTGGGGGAGCTGGGAGAGGGGGAGGGGGGGCTCCTCGGCATATTTTTGATGCGTTGTGGATTTTGTCCTGCACACGTACTGCCCATTCAAGATTAAATTACAATGGTGGTGGCCACACCTTGCTCATGGCTCTCACCCCCATGTCCTGTCTGCCTCCGCTGGCCCAGCCTCTCACCTTGCTGACACCTTCCTGCAGAGCAGGCTCTCTGCCACCCCCTCACTTCCTGCCTCATCCACTCACACCCTTCCCCACTTCCGGTCTGGGAACCTACACAAAGAACGTCAAGATTGCTTCACATTACATTCACCTCCATCTCTCCTTTCTAGGAGCCTACCTCTTGTATAACCAAAGAGATTGTTAACAGTTATGTCCCCACCTTCCCCGTCAGATCTTTCTCTAAAAATGACTTCTGCCATCACTGTTCCCAAAAGTTGAGTTGCCCACTGCCAGCCTTTGTGAAATCAGCAGATTTTCTTCTAATATGTAAGAAAAGAGCAAGGGACATTTCTTGCTCTCAGACAGCTTACATAGCGAGAGGGTACACACACTGGCAGAAAAACAGTCCTGGTTTTAAATTGTTACCCACCTGGCTTTGGGCAGGTTCCGGACACTCTCTGAGCCTCTGTCTCCTCTAAAGACTGAATATGATAATATAGCAGCTTTCAAATGTTTCTTTTTCCAAAGTTGTGGAATGCTGTTTTGAAACAAACCCTTAATGAATGCCAATATTTGANTTAATAAAAACACATTGTCTAGAAGTAGTTATCCATAGATCTAAAGTCCACAGAACTCTCTTTTTCTTTCTTTCTTTTTCTAATTTAAGTTTATAGGGGTGACAATGATTAGTAAAGTTACAAAGGTTTCAGGTGTACAATTCTGCAATACATCATCTATATACCACGTTGTGTGTTCACCACCCAGAGTCAGTTCTCCTTCCATCCCCATATATTTGATCCTGTTTACCCTCATCTACCACCTCTCATCCCCCTTAACCTGTGGTAACCACTAAACTATTGTCTGTGTCTATGAGTTTTTGTTTATTTGTTTGTATTGTTCCTTTGTTGTTTTTGGTTTTGTATCCCACATATCAGTGACATCATGTGGTTCTTGAAAAGGAACCCTCATACACTGTTGGAGGGAATGAAGATTGGTGCAGCTGCTATGGAGGTTCCTCAAAAAATTAATAATAGAATTACCATATGACCCAGCAATTCCTCTCCTGTATATCTACCCAAAAAAATCTGAAAACATTTATCTGTAAAGATATATGTTCTCCGATGTTCACTGCAGTTTTATTTATGGTGGCCAAGACATGGAAACAACCAACGTGTCCCTCGATAGAGGATTGGATAAAGATGTGGTATATATACACAGTGGAATACTACTCGGCCATAAGAAAAGATGAAATAGTGCCATTTGCTTGTCGCAAATGGATCTTGAGATTATTTTGCTAACAGAAGTCTCTTTTTCTAACGTTAAAATACATAATTGTTTGGAAGAGATGGGGAACAACTTGAAATAAATCAGAAAACACCTTTACATTAATCTTTTTTTTCCATATACTTAAAATTTGTACTTAATGCCTTTCTCTTCCTGGACATCCGAAAGAACCCCTGGGTGTTCTGGGATAAGTTTATATTCCTCCAAATCAATTTCTGGAAAACAATGTGTCACTTTTAAATTACTGCATGATCCTTGTCACAAATAGTCTAAGATGGCCTAGCTTGTTCATGGATTCCTTGTAAACAGAAACTGCCTCCCACTATGCAAACCTCGTCCACTTTATTTATTAGTTCTGGTTGCTCAATAAGTTTTAAGTCATTATCCAGACTTTTGTCAAGAAAATGAGCTCCTTGAGGTTCCTTGAGTTCTCTACTGAGAACTAAATTAATCCTGTCCTTTAAAGGTCGATTCTTCTCGGGAATGGAGAACCAGGTCTTCCTACCCATAATTACCAAATTCTGTTTACCTTCTGCTGAAGAGAGGTTGTGGTAATTCTTTGGAAATGTTTGAATTCATTCCTGAGCGGGGTCCAGGTCAGTCTCCGTTCTTGCTGATCCTCATGTTCTGGGACACGGTGACCAAGCAGTTTAGCAGACAAACCATGTCTGTGGCAGTAAGAACCCCTTGGCTGAGCTTGGCGTGAAATTCTATACTGGACATTGAACCTCTTATTCCCCTTCACNCAGAGTCTGTCCCTGGGAATTCCAAAGTTTCTCTTTCTCAGGGGAAGTGAGCCCTTTCTAGCACCTAGTCCCACAATCTCCTTCATTCACCCAAAAATTGATTGAAGGCTAACCAGGAGCCTGCCAAGGTTCTAGACGAGAGCTCCGAGCCCACCTTTGCTGTCAAGGTGATTGCCTGAACCCTTCTTTCGCAGGTCCCCACTACCATGGCAAGCAATTGTGGTTTAAATAGCTTATTTTTTTTTCCCTCGAATTAGGAGAATCCGTGGGATCTCAAGCATCCGTCCTGCTCTCGCTCAAGCAGCCAAAGCAGGGTCCGTTAGAACAGGGCAGAAGCGTCCAACAGAGGTAAGGTTCTTTGTACGGAAGGACTGGGTCTTTGGATAAGAGAAGCCTTTTGAACTGACTGTGCTGGCAGTTCTGTTAGACAAATCCTGATGTGGTTTCTGTGCAAAGCAGCCTGCCACTAACCAGTAAGCAGAAGGCAGATGTGGTCCTGGCAATAGATTGTGACCAGGCCTGGGACTCGCTGGCATGTCTTGCAGTGCTTTCTAGCCACTGAGGGCCTTCTCCAGAACCCTGAGAACGGAATTGCCTTGAAGGGTGCTTACAATATTGCCAGTTGGCCTCACTAACTAATGAATGATGCAACCTCCTTGTAAATGTTCTCAATCCACATTCATTAAAAACATGGTTTGCCTCTTTAAAATTCTGAGAGGCTGAAAGTTTCCAGAAGAGCTGTACTGAATATGAGGGGTCTCCCCACCCCCCATTCACTGTCCTTTGGAGAAGACTTAAAGCATGAGGAAAGATAAAGAAAATGCCCTTTTGGGGTTGGTAATGTACCAGATATGTATATATGCATATGCTTTCTCATTTAGCCCTCTTGACAATTCTATTATCTCTATTTTATAGATAATCAGGCTGATTTCAGACAGATTAATTTATTAGCTCAAGGTTGGACAGCAAGTATCAGAGCCAGATTTCAAACCTAAGTCTTTTTGGCCCCAAAATATTTAACTCTGCTACCAAAAAAGCATATTCTTGCCTTCAGTTTCAGTCCTCTCCTGCAACATTTAGTTTCAAGGGAGAAAATATACTGAGTTTTTTTCATATTACTTGCAGTTACAGTGCTGTGATTCAACAAGATTTTTCAGAAATGGGAAGCCAATTATTGGAAGGAAATTTCAAGAGTGCGAGGGGCCTGCCTCTGGCAGTAATACTGGGGGTGAGAACAGAGGGAACGGATGCCTGTCACATTTCATTATAAGCCA